ACACACACACACACATATATATATATATATATATATATATATATATATACACTAAAGAAAACATTGGGGCGGACAAGGTTGGGCTAGATCGGGCTAGTCTTGTTATCGTTGTGGCCCTAACACGGCCCTTCTACTACGATCACGTGTTCCTGGCCCTACTCAAGCCAGGCCGGCCCTAATGCACTCAAAAAAAAAAAAGGAATAAATTAAGAAAATTTCGGGTTGGACAAGGTCAGGACAGCCCAATCTTGTTGTGGCCATGGTCTTGGGGCCACAATGACTTATCTTTGGCCTTGGTCGGGACACTTAGGCCCTAATAGACTAAAAAATATATGAAAAAGTTAAAGAAGAAACCGGGCTGACAACGTAGGGCTGCCCTGGTGCAACTCTGGCGCTTCCTTGGCCTGCCTAAGGCCACGGTGGCTTGTCCGAGGCCCAGCCCTTTGGCCTTCAATTTTTAGGGCTGGGATTGGGCTCTTGGCGCATTGCTAGCCGTGTAGCAATCAAACCGATTCTCATCAGACTAGACGCCTCTTGGCCAAATCTAATACTAATAAATGCGATCATAATGATGAACTACGAAGTGACGGTATCAAGTGCATCGCATGTTTGGGGGCTTGGTCACTATAATCCCATATTTTCTTATTTAATTTAGGATTTTCTGAAGACTAGACCCCTCTTGGCCAATCTAATACTAATAAATGTGTTCATAATGAAGAACTACGACGTGATACTGTCAAGTGCACCGCATGTTTGGGGGGCTTGGTCACTATAATTCTTATTTAATTTATGATGGATTAGTTTATGCCTCGACGATTGCAACAATACATCCAAGTTCAAATCCTCCTTCTGCTAAACTACACAAAGTAATCAAGGAATAAATGGCATCCAATGAAACGATTAATGCATAAGGAAAAAAGAAAAAGAAAGCTTACCAATTATATAATTTATATCTTTCATAGTTACTAAATAGAGCACCAATTATATCAAATCACCGAATCTATCATGGTTATTTTGAATAAGTGGTAAAACTAGAAAAGGGTGGAAACCATAATGAATACATATGAAGGAACTTCGGTATCACTTTAGTAGGCGATAAGAAAAGTGAAAGTACCATATCCTGCATCAACTTAATACGATATTAGTAAGGAGCTGTGCTTTGGTTAAAGCGAAAGGACTATAAAAGGGCAAAATGAATACCCATAAGAGTATGAATAGAAGTAGTAATAAAAATTACGGTGACTTTTGATTTTATTGAAAATATGGCGCTGATAAAAAAAAATGGAAAAACATAATTTATACAGCCCACCCAAATAATTAGGATAAGATTTGAATGACGTGATAGGTATTAAATATAAAATTTTAAAAGATATTGGATTTTTTCGTTGATTTTGATGAAATTAAAGTATTAATAACCAATAAATTTGTCAAAACTTGTCTTCAAATTTTGATTTGTACTTGGAATTCAACAAGAAAATGGATAAAAATCTGAGAAATCATATTTTTCATGAGGTGGCCGTCACATGACATAACATCACTTCCATGCTCTACACCATCCCCATGAATTCTCTAATCTCGGGTCCTTATAACGTCATCATTGACGTGGCATCTCTACCACCGACGAAACTCCCGTCACCCCTTCGTTGTTGCATTTTCCGAATAACGTGAAATTCGCCGAAATTGTCCATCAAATATTTGGGGGAATTTTGTATATGGCCTTTAGCAGGGCGGGCCTAGGCAGTTTATCTTTGGCCATGGCCTGGCCATTATCAACATAGGACCGGACCAAGCCCATCATGGGCCCTATTAGGGCTGGGGATGAACAAATATAAATGAAAGAAGAATTTAATAAAAAATTTGGGAAAAAAGTATTGTGCAGCCGAACGGGCCGTCTTTGGGATTAAGCGGTCCTCGGGTCACAATTTTGTCCCGCGAAACTTTCACCGAAATGTGCGTGATTTCGCAAGGTCCACCACCTTGAGGGCGGTTTCGGAGCACAGCACGTGCGGGGCCTACAGCTCGCACTTTCCTCATTCTCGGCTTTGTCTTTTTCCAAATTTAAATTAGAGAATAAATGGAAGAAAAAATATGACATCAGAGAGGTTGGCCCTCAAGATGCATGCGCGCGCTGTACGCGTGAAGGCGGGACGGTCCGGATTTGTGGGGCCACTAGAGAAATCGCATCCGTTGGTTGTAGTCGTTTTGATATGAAGGTACAGGATGCGTTGTAGGGTAAGGCACTATCTGGTCTGCTGACAGTGGGACCCAGACGACTGACAAATTCGTTGCCCATTTGCTCATATCACAATTCCCTCTCTCTCTCTCTCTCTCTCTCTCTCATCTCGCGACACGAGGAAAGAAGGATCTCTCCGACCCCGAACGTAAAACGAACGACGAAGAAAGAAAGAAGTACTACTTACTCGTCTACTTTAACTTACTACGTACTTATTATAGTAGTACTAACGTTAACTTTACCT